TGGCGTGCAGGCGCCCGCTCCCTCCCCTTGCTGCTGAAAAGCAGGTGCTCGGGAAGAGAGGGGGAGAGAGGGAAGGGTGAAGGTGGGAGCTTTGCCAGGCACCAAAACAGCTGGCCACTGCTGGAGACGAGACACGTGGCACGTGTAGGGTAGATTAACGAGCTTATCTGGCCAGAGAGCAGTCAGTTGTACACGTGCGCACATGGGTCTGGCTGCCAGCACCTCCGAAATGATTTTGCCTGACTGGTGGCTGAAGGAAGCTGCTGTTCAGTATGGGCAGGTCTGGCCATCTGGGTAGGGTTTTTTTTTTTTTTTTCCCACAAGCCAAACTTTGGGTGCAAAATCACTACAGATTCAGGGAGGTCTGACGTGTTAGCCTCTGAGCGTGTACCACATGGGACCCAACCATCCAGGTGTGTTCGAACTGGGTGTTTTGCTTCAGGTCCTCTTCCTGTGGCGACACGAGTGGCTTAACTCGTTGCCGTCCTGGTAACGATGCCCCTGTGTCATTAGTGGGGCTGTACTTCGGCAGACTGCGTCGGCAGCTTCCTCTCTGCAAGAGAAGGGGGCTGAGGGCGAGCCTGCAGCAGAAAGGGAAGATCGCATGCTGTACTCTTGCTTATTTTCCTGGAAACTCTGGCATGGTTATACCAAGCAGGCTCAGGGGCCCTTGGCTTTTTCTCCTGAGGCATTTATTGGTGCCTTGCCTAGGAGCGCGAGTTCTCCGCGGCTCTCTCCGGCAGCTAACAGGCAGCGAGCGGGCTTGCGTCAGCTCCCGGCGTGATCTTCTGCAATACAGGATGTGCAGTTCAAGCATTTTACAGCTCTGCCGGGACAGCACGTGGTGATCGTATGTGTCTGCAGTAAGCACAGCTTCCTGCCCGCACAAGTGCCGAATAGCAAGGGCCACCCCTCTACGATGGGCTGAGAATATGGCTGCAAGGCCTGAGTTCACCAGTTGCCCTACATGGGAGGCAGAAAGCAACCTAGAAGGCCTGGCTGCCCTGCTCAGCGTGACCCAAGCCATATTGAGCCCAAAATAACCCCTTTTCTCTTTTTCTGTGGCCATAGTGGTCGTTTGCACAACAGCCTGGCTGCATGCCTCAGCAGTAAGGGGACCTCACAGCAGTATC